GGTTTATCATGTTTTAATTGTTCAAATTTTAAGGTTTTTTAAAATAACAAATAAGGAAATAAGGTAAACCCTAAAAGGGTTCCTCAATTTTCGAAAATTAGGCAAAGGGGTTAGGGTTTCAAGAACCCTATGGAATTTTCGAAAATACCTCCTTAGGATTTAGTTTCTATAAACCTTAATTTTGATCTATTCAACTTTGTGCAAGATCAATGAGAACAATGGCTCTGATAGCACTGATGGGTTTTTATATTTTACAAAAAACTATTTTTGGCGGAAAAACATAAACCCTAAGTTCACATGCACCCTAAAGAATCTATGTTCTCACTATGATTTGCAAACAACTATTGAATATCAAGAACCCTAGAACTACATTGCTATTTTTGACATTACTAAAGGGTTATTAGAAAATACATAACTTAGTTTATTATTTCAAATAAATTAGTAATCCTTTCTTGTTGGTTTTCAAAAAGCAAGCACCAGAAGTCTCGTGCCTCTAATGACTCACACCCAAACCCTAGCAAATTGGAGGCTAAAGAGGAGAGGGGAGAAGGAAGGGAATTTTCAGAATTCTCTTGGGAATTATGATAACCGAAAATATGAACCCTTAGGAGGGTTTATATAGGTGACTAGGGATGCTATGGATAACTCAGTTTCCTAGATAAGCCTTATCCCCTCTTCTTGCTCCCTAAGGATTCCTAGGTTTCCTTAATGCCCAAGGAAAATCCCCTAACCATCTAGAATTCGCCCCCCTCCTATGGGAAGTTCTATAATTGTTCAATATTCAACTTTTGAACATGGTCACCTTTAGTCCTTCCACTTTTAATTATTCAAATTAATCTCAACATTAATTCTAATTACTTTTTGATGAATTCTTAATTAAACAATACTATTTCTATTTAATATATTATTCTCATAAAATATTAAGGAATTATTTATTTTGATTTCTAATTAATTTATTAATCATATAATATATTAATAAATCAGTTTCTCTCTCCAAAAAGCATTCCAGTCTTTTACTAGGTTTGAGGGCAACCCAAAAGAACTTTGCTAATAATTCAAGATTATACTAATTTAGTTATTGGCTTAGACACCTAATCTAACAAATACTACATTTTTATACTCTGGTTATCTTCTAATGGAATGAAAATGATTAGTTTTATCTAATTTTAACACTCTGTATTTTTGGACGTTATAAGTTGGTATCAGAGCCTTGGTTTGAGGGATTCGGGGCTAGCATTGGGTGTATATGAACTCAAATTGGGGACTAAGAAAATTCTTCTTACTAAATGTTTTTATAAAAAAGTTTTTTAAAAAAAATGTGGTGCGATGCGTGCAATCAGTCGAGGCTCAAGTAAGTAATTCCCAAAATACCCATACATTAATGATATGATAATTTATGCTATGATATGATATACGTAATAGAGGCAGGGTAAGGATATGTTTGGGAATTGTATGCTAGAATGTCTGCTTAAGAGAGATGTCTTTCTATGCTTTATATGTGTTGTTATGTAATTTAATCTGGTTTTGTTTTGAATAATTCGCTGAAATCTGAAAAACTGGAAAACAAGATTTAATCATGAGGGAAGCGGGGTGCCCCTTATTGGGCGTGCATCTGCCCATGGGCTGCACGATTTATTAGGGATTTGGGAGCTATTTAAACACACTTAAGCCTCTAGTGTTGGATCATATTCAACATCTATCACCCCTAGAGAGTGTTTTCAGAAACCCTAACCCCTATCCTCCCACTTTGAGCTTGATTTCACCATTAAGAGCTTATCTTTCCTTGTTTTGTGCATGAGGTTTGAAGATAAAGGTTTCTTTTAGAGACTTGAAGTGAGGAGCACGTGTAAATCCAGAAATTTTGCACATTTCTTGGACCTTTGTGAGTATAAAGCTTCAAGATTTCCTTCTTCTTTGCTAGATCTTGCTTGTTGTTCAATTTATGCACTTAGGGTTGTTATATGGACCCTTTGGAATTGGAAAGTTTGTATTTTGTGCATGTCCTTTAAGCCATGCAAGTTGTGGTGGCTTTTTAGGTCATATTAGTACATAAAGTCTAAATCTTGCTTGTTTGGTGGGTCTTAATGAATAAAGTTGAAAACTTTATCCATTAAGACATTATTGAGGACTAGATTTTTAAAGTTTGGGGTTTTGAATTAATGAAATAAGTCATTTTTCATTGATCAATGAGGTTGGGGCATCACGTTAGTCCCACACACAAGGCGTCTTAGGGTTTTTTCTAAAACGCATTTGTTTTTGTCTTGAACCCCGACTGTGTGTCAAGATATGTTGTTTGTCTTTGTGACTTCCATGAAAGACCATGTTTGACCATGAAACTTGTATGAAAGACTATGTTTTTCCACATAGTAGGAAAGACCATGTTGGCCCATGACAGGAAGTGATTGTAAGACTATGATTCAACCCATAGCAATCATAGGGGCTGACACAGACCCGTTACAATTGTGTATTGTTATTATATGGTATGTGGTATCTTTGGAAACTCACTAATTTTGTGGTTACAGTTTAAGTTTAATCATTTTAGGAATTTCTAGTAGCAAACGAAAGAGCTCAGCTTGATTGTATCACATCCATCAGAGATTCCACACTATCCGTTTTATGTTTTTTACTCTGACGTTTGTTGAGACTATATTTTTATACTCTCATTATCTTTTGATGGAATGAAAATGATTGGTTTTATCTTATTTCAAAATGAAAAGTTTAGTTTGTATTTTGGGGGCGTTTCATTACAATAATGGTAAAATTTTCATTTTATATGTATTTAATGGTTTTTTCTAACGATGTTAGATAAAACAACAAATCGTGAAACGGTTGGTCCAACAGTGTAGTGTTTCCAATAGTTATCCTCAGTATGATACTTTTTGCAAACCACAATGACCAATTATGAAATTTTGTCTTTAAATTATAAAACATTGATTTTTTATAAATTTGTATAATATTCATTCAAGATGGTATATTTATAATTAACTTGAAATTGGTAACTTCTTGTGTGTTCTCTTTTTTAAGTATAAATGGTCTATATGGATGTTAGAAGACCGAAGAGTGTTTGTTTCAAATAAAGAACATACAAACCTTTTGAGGTTATATAGGAGGGATTTTGACTTAAAAGAGTAATATATATTTTTTTTTTGATTTCTATACATTTGGTCACTGAATTTATTTTTTTTGTCTATATTTTATCATTAACTTGTTTTTTTTTCACATCCAGTCCTTATAATATGCTACTACAGCTTAAGCCGGAAAAATGAATTGATAAGTTATATATAAAGATTATGGTTAATGGATTCACGATTAATACTTGAAGATGTAAATTAAAGATCGACACAATAGGGTTTAGGGTTTAGGTTTAGGGTTTAGATAAGGAAGCAAGAATATTGATTATCTTTGTCCTTCGTGACAGTGGAAAAAAGTAATGTTCACTTGGATGAAGTAATAAACGATAATAGAGGAAAGAAAACAGAGATGGTAAAACGATAATGAAAGAAAGAAATGTTATCGAGGATGATATATTTACCAAGTGAAACCAAACCGGGTATATTTACCAAGTTAAAACGACATATTTTAGAGGTTTAGTACCTAAGCTTAGGTGGGGCTGTAATGTATATTCTCTCTCTCTCTCTCTCTCTCTATATATATATATATATATATATATATATATATATATATATATATATATATATATAGTTTCTACACATTTAGTCTTTAATGTTTTTTTACAATTTAGTCCTTATGACCGGTTTCTTCAAATTTTGTTCACGACATCCTACGTAGGATAATCATTAATGATGTGTTCTCATACGTGGTTCGTCCTTCATTTATATCAGTAAAGCTAATTTACGAATCGGTCAAATAATATTAGTGATGTAGTTTTCTCCAAGCAGAAGATATATTCGGCTTCAGTTTCATCTATCTCCATAGCGGACAATGAAATATTTTGTGATTGTTTCCTCTTTACTCGAATTTGCATTTCCAAGGAAAAAGTGTCAAAAAATACATTAAAAGACTGAATGTGGACAAAAAAACAAGTTAAATGGTAAAAAATATAGAAAAAAAAACAAAAAACCAATGACCAAATATATATATACAATCAAAAATATATTACTATTATTTTATCCTCATAAAAAAACATAAAATATATTACTATTTTAAGTCGCTATCCCCATAAAAAAACCAAAAAACAAACAAAATAGAAAAAAAAAACAAAGTCAATAATATAAAATAGTAAAAATATAAACACTATAACATATAAATCTACTTTAATAAATAATTTTTTTTTTCATATTTCAAACTCTTATTCATTTAGGTACATGTTATTTTGTAAATATTTTAAATTTTTTTCAGTTTTTTTTCATTGTTATTAAATTTCACATTAATGTAATTAATAAAAGAATATCAATTTTATTAATGCAATTTTATTTTATTTTCAAAATTCTTAAATTTAAACATAATTATTTTTTTGTTTATTTAATTAAATTATTCGACTAAATTTAAAATAGAAATAAACATTTTGATTTCAATAATTTAATATTTTTATTTTCTTTATAAATTAGTAGTAAGTGTACATTTATATTTAATTTTTTTTAACTAACTCGATATATCATTTTCACAACTAAAATGTTAATGAAAAATAGTGATCACTAAATGAGATGTAATTAAAAGTTGGAAAATCAAAATATCAATGCTTAACTCCCAAATTCTTTTCATATTCTCTCCCAAAACACAGACAATTAGACAAATACACTTCCTCACGAACAAAACCAACCCATTCATATTACCATTTCATAAAAACTTAAAAGAACCTGAATCTATAATCTCGTTTCGATGACATGGACTCTTCCAGTCATCGGGAAGTTGCAAATAAGGTAAGTCAGTCAACAAGTCAACCCGTCAATATACAACACACAAAGCCAAAATTACACCAAAACAGAAAACAAACAGCAAGAAACAAAGCACAAACAGCAGAAAGCAACTTGAACACCATTTCAGTTTCGAAGTAACCTTTTACAACATGATATTAGACCTAACAGATGATCAAAAGGGGTGGACCCCAACACCCTGCCATAAGCAAGATAGCTCAGGTGCCCAAGTCCACCACCCCTACTCCTATACACCACCATCTTCACGTAATGATCATAGTACACCCAATAAACCCTACTGGTTAAAATTGTATTTTCCCATCAAACCCCAAATCTTACTAGAAACTCTAAAAACCTAAAGAAGATTAGTTCTGAAAGAAACCCGGATGATAATGGAGGAAACACAGAATGATTGACCTAAAACCCTAATGGGTAAAAGAGTCTTTTCACAAGCTAAAAACCCTAATGAAGAAACCTTCCAAGTACGGTCATCTTCGAATGAACACCATCCGACCCATCTCTTGCCGGTTCAAACGAAACGGGCATGTCTTCTTCGGATCCATACGAGAAGTCCATAGTTTTGCAATTGTTCACTAAACGCCTTTTGCCCTAAAAATACCGAAAAAAAATGGTGTAAATGAATCGTTTTGAGTTATTTCTTGATCATATTAAAAGTACCTGAATTCGGGCTCTTGTAATTTCTGCTACCTTCGGACTCCCAAAGAAGTCCCAATGTTTGCCATGAAAGGTGTCCCTAAATCTCGAAGCAGCTTCTGGAGTTGTAAAGTTCACAAACGCGAATCCAGCGTTCACTCGATTGCTGTGACATGACAATGAAATAAACACAGTTACACCAAAAACACATAGTCTGCATCGATTGTTTAAAAACGAAAACCAGATGTGAACCAACTTGAAATCTATCGGAAGATACAGAAAATCGTAAGCAGAAATCGAGTTCTTCTCATCAATGGAGTCATTGTTGATCTTTTGATTCACAAGCTTGCAATGATCGTCTAAAGTTTGTATCAGCAGCTTTCTCCTGTAAAACATGAACTTCAAATCATAATTTCCCATTTTGGGAAAACCCCATGTATTAAATGCTAAGAAATCATCTTCTATATCATTGTTTAGAGAGAGAAAGATGTATGAAGTTGTAATAAATGATGATGATTTACGTGTATTTATTCGGAATGTTTTTGATCATGACAGATGAAGTTTCAGTATCAAGTGGCAAAATCTCTTGATACTCTCCACTTCTGTTTTTCCAACGTCTTTTTCCTCCACGCCCAACTTTTTCCAGAGTTGTTTTTTTCTCCACCGGCTTCAACTGCGTCTTCATTTCAGTTCCGCCGCAACCATGGCTTCCGAAGCGAACCACCTTGTTAACTCTCCGGTGGCGTCCAGTGAGCCGGGATTTGGGGATTCTGGGCCCCGAAGGAACCGAAGCCAGAGAGAAATTGCTCTTTTTTCCAGGAGATGGTGGTGGAGGAAGTGGTAGTGGTAATGACTTGGCGGGCAACGGCTGTTGATGAGCATTGTATGACCAGAAATATGGTGGACGTGGTAGAACTGGTGGCAAAATCCGATAATAAGGAAGAGGTGGAGGAATATGGTAGATGTAGAAATCCCGAGGATAAATTGTATTGTAAGGAGAAGCTCTGGGATCCAAGGGTCTGGAGGAAACAATTTCAATCGCCATTGTAGAGCTCTAAGGATCACAGGGGTATTTGTAGAAGTTTCTTTGGGGTTTGTTGGTGAAGAAAAGATTTTAGAATGATTTTTTGGATGAATTTTGGGGAGAGAGAGAGAGAGAGAGAGATTATGGGGGCTGTAATGATGGAAGGAATTAAATGCATGTATGGCACAGCCGACGGCAAATGTTTCCTTTTGTCTACCTTCTTCACTGTCAAATATCAGTTGCCTTTCCAATACTCGATCACATTCCACAGACATAAAAGATCGTCCTTGTTTTATTTCTTTTTACTGTTTTACTATGTCATTTCGCTATATATCCATTTTTTACAGAGATATTTATCCAACAATCATATTCATTAAACATATTTTACATAATTTTGTTCTAAAATTATTCTTATGACCATTATCAAATTTTAATTTTTATATAAAACAGGTTCGAAAACCAAGATGTTTTGGGATGTATATAACCTCTTTTCAAACTTTTCGACTAAGAGATGATTAAGAAAAAACTATAATGTCAATAAATCAAAATGAGGAAGCAATAGCCAATAGTATACCAACGACACGCAAAATATGATTTGTTTGGTTGAAATCACAAACTATAGAAATTTGGTTTTCATGAGACAGTTGTTCCGAATCAAACTTTCCAAAACGGTTCTTATATGTAATTTGGTATGATGGTTGAAATATGACATAAAAGCTAAGAAATATGGTTAACCGGCATGATCTTTGTCATTGGTAAGCAAACAATAAGATTAGCAAAATATTTAGGAATTTGTATCTATTTTTTTGTTTGATCACATACAAATGTGTTGGATATTAATTTTTTACGCAAGTTGCCATCGTCCAAGAAGTGGATATCAATTTCTAGAATTTTAAAGAAAAGTAGTAAGATGAATCGTTGTAAAATGTATATATTAGTTTCGAGTCGTGATACCTGATACGTAATGTACACATGAATTTCAATAATTTATTATGGTGTTTGTGAAATTATTTCTAATATTGGATGAACTTGTTAACAAATAACACCAGTAAAGGAAATATAACCACAATATAATCATGATTTAGATAACCTCATATTTTTAGTTATAAGAAAGTTTCTATAATCATTTACATGAAATACTAGTCCTAGAAATACTTTCATCTAAAAATTTATCAAAACAAAAAGACAAATAATTAAACATTAATATTTTTCTTAGTCATGTTTTTAAGGACTGTCCGGTCCAATCTAATATTTTTTGGTCCCTATGAATGAATAGTAACATCTTCACGGATGGTCGTAGGTTGGATGAAATAAACTCTTGCCATAATACAATTCCAATGTCTAGATTCTAACATCTTTTTATCTTCTTTCTCATAATCTAATCTTTTTTTTTAGCTTACTCAGTTATTTGTCTCTTTACATACTATTCTAATCTAATTTTGCCTTTTCATATCATACTCTTTCTTAACCTCTTCTCAGACTCGTCGCATACTCTGCTCATACTCTTTTGTAATAGCCCGAAAATTTATATAAAAATTTTCGTTTAATATTTAGAAGTTACAATCATGTTTTGTTTTCCAAAATTCCATTACACCAAATCATATCCAAAAGATCAGAGTATCCAAAACAATAAATGCGGAAATACTTGAGAGCGAAATACTGCGTCATCAAGTCGGGCTCTTCCCCTTAGAACCATAAGTACCTGAAACACCTAACAAACTGTAAGCAAACACTTAGTGAGTTCCCAAAATACACACCAAACATACAATCATATAATACCATGCACCACATATATAGAATTGCCATGGACTCCCTCCATGGTCTTTACCTGGAATGTCATGGGCTACCTCCATGGTCTAGTATCCAAGTGTCATGGGCTCCCCCCATGGTCTTTACATGGAATGTCATGGCCTCCCCCCATGGTCTGATAACCAAGTGTCATGGGCTCCCCCTATGGTCTTCACAAAAGTCATTACATACCAACTAACAAAACCATTGCATATCAACTATTAAGACCACATATCGAGTAATGGACCGATATTGGTGCCTTCGACCCATTGGTATAATGAGAAGACTCACCTCAGTCTACTGAAAACAATAGCTGCTTGACTACCAATCTAAAATCTCACACTGTATAAATATACAAATAACCCTAATTAGGATTTTGACACAACCTAGACAAGGGCCCAAAATCCTAAGTCCAAATCCCTCCATTATGGCCCAAAAGTCTTTCCTTCACTAATGGGCCTAGCATCAAAGTCCAAACTATAATGGTCCACAAGGCCCAAAAGGCCTAAAAGAAGTTTCCTTATAATGGGACCATCCAACTTGGTCTATTTACACTAATGGTCCTAAGGCCCAAAGGCCCAACTCATGACCCTAGAGGCCTATAATGGAAATTGAACCACCTAAATTAACCAAGCGACAACCCACAATGCAGTCCTAAGCTCCTAAAGTCCACATGTGAAGCCCATACTGAAGGCCCAAAATACTGAAAACCTCTGTTGAGTACGCGGGGCGTACTCAGCTTGTACGCTAAGCGTACACGCTTAAGGGTATGTACGCTGCGCGTACGAGCTTGTATGCCCAACATACTCCTCTGATTTGCCAACCATGCCATTAAGCTCTTATTTGGTTCAGACACTTGCTCCAACTTTACGTGCATGCATGGCTTAATGAAGCCCAAAATCCCAAATTAACTTAATAAATGACTTAATGCTTGCATGGAGGTCACAAACACCATAAAGTTTGCAACTTTAAGCTATAAGAGGCCACTAAATGTCTAGATCTACAACTTTGACATCACAAATGGTCTTGACACATCAAGACCTTCAAAAGGGGACCAAAAGACTCAAAACAAGCCCAAAATGAGATCTAAATAATAAATGAGCAAGGTATGGACTTTATACGTCCAGAAGCTCCCTAAGATGAAGAAAATGTTGGATCTAGAAGCTTCACCACGTTCAATAATTGCACCACAAGTGCTTCTCCTTGCAAACACAACCAAACATGGCTTCCTTTTGACACTCCAAGCTCAAACTCACTTCTAATGGCTATTAGGGTTTCTAGGGACATTGAGAGGCAAAAGAGGCTGATAGAAATGAGGTCCAAAGTGTAACATCCCAAAATTCATAGCCAAAAATTTCATTTTTAAGTAAGTAAGTATAAAAGTAGTAGTCTGAAACATCCATAGTGTTAACTCATTTAATAATCAAAAACCAGTATTTCAAATAACTAAAACATGTCATAGAAAAGTATTATCAGAGTACAACTCCCAAATATCTCATAATGCAGAACTCATAGTGTGATGCATTGCGATCCTGCCGTCTCCTTTCCTTTTGAATAAGAAGTACCTAAAACCAAAACTGTAAACCGTAACCACGAAGCTTAGTGAGTTCCCCCATCATACCACACACCATACAAATAACATATTGTCAGTCATATCAGGGTGACCGACCTACCCTGATGAGCATACCGGGGTGCTCAACCTACCCCTATTAGGCATACCGAGGTGCCCAACCTACCCCTGTCAGACATACCGGGGTGTCCGACCTATCCCTGTCAGGCATATATGGGTGGCCGACCTACCCTTCGATTTATCTCAACCGGTTACGGGGACTATTTCACCCCTACCACTACCACATAATAACATATCATAAACATACTGCTAGGCATATATGGGTACTGTCTACCCCTTCGGTCTCTTTCAACCGGTAACCGGGGACTATTTCACCCCTCCTACTACTATCACATAATATCATATCATACTAGCACATAAAGCATAACGGATAGTAGCATACCAGACAATTATCACAAAGACAATAATCTCAACTATAATCACCTTCTAGTGGGTCGGCATTGGTGCCTTAGACCCACTTATAATGGAAGGTAACTCACCTCGATTACTAAGGCTCGCTACCCGAACTCCCTAGCTGATGCCCTGATGGCTTCCCAAGCTAACAATTACCAACCCAATATCTAATTAGCAACTAAGTTCTGAACCATGAACCATAATCCAATATTGGGGTAAAATGACCATATTACCCCTGGCCCAACAAGACCCATAACTAAGGCCCAAGCCCAAAACCAATAAGGTCCAAAACCATAAAGTCCATAAAAGCCCAATATATGGCCCAATTTCCAATTGGGTCCCATTTCTTCGCATGGGCCTCAACCTAGGGCCCAATAATGCTTCTCTAGTCTAAAAGGTCCTAGTCAAAGTCGAAGTCAACGCTCCGAGTTGACTCAACTCGTCGAGTTTGTTCTTCAACTCGTCGAGTTCTCATGAATCTCGAAATCGTGACTTTTCGCATCAACTCGTCGAGTTTTTCCTTTTCAGAATCGGGAGATTTCAAGAACAACTCGTCGAGTTCTCTCATGAACTCGCCGAGTTCTTCATAGTTCTTATCAATTAAGCCTTTTTCCTCAGATCTAAGGTTCCAAAATATAGATCTATGTTGTCTTTATCATGCACATCTGTAAAGTCGACATCTTGATGGCTTTGCATGCCTCAAATAGATCTAAACTCAAGAAATGACAACCTACTTCCATGGACATGGTCTTTTCTTAAGCATGAAAGGGTTTATGACCTCTTTTTATGAATCTAAAGACCAATTAGCACCGAGAAGGGCAATTTCCAGCATCATAACCATGAGTGTTTATCATATTCCAACAATGGGGTCTAAAAGACCCATAAAACAACACCAAGAGAAATCTAAGTTATTAAGCACCAAGTTTGAGACTTTATACCTCAGGAAGTTGCCAAAGACGAGTGATATCCCATATCTAGTGCCTTTCTTCAAGCTCAATAACCTTTAAGTTCTTCCAAGTCGTTCACCAAGCACAAGAATATACAAAAACCCACTCAAAACCTCTAGTTTCCCAGCAAGGAGATCACAATACGTTTTAGGGTTTAGGGAGGCTGATGAGGGGATGGTTAGGGGAGTTGATGTTCTTTAAATAGGGTGCAGAACCCTAGAAATTTGGGTTTTATCTTCCAGCGCCAACTTGTCGAGTTGATT